AACTAAGATTCACATTCTTCAGGATATACATAAAAATGATTTGTGAAAGTACAATTTCTTATCTTATAAAAAATAAAGTGTAAACAAAGTAATATTCAAACAACGTAGTGAGTGATTTTAGTGTAGCGTTCTAATTCTCTATAGACCGGGATTTTCGTTTTTGACTCAGTATTTTTTCCGCATTCGCCCCTGAGACGGAGTACCTATTTTCTGAGTTTATAGTGACGGGTAGCTTACAAATTTGTCTGGAATGTATGAGAAAACTGCTGATGTTTTAACCAGAGCAGCTAAAGTGAAATTATCTAATAGTCAATCTAACCAGTCAGTGCCTTCATTTCTATTACAGCCAACAAAAGGTCGTGTTAGCGCGATACCCGATGTGCTAGATGGAGCAACTGAATTTGATAAAGATGTGTATTCACAAAAATCCATTGATACATCAATATGGGATGGTCTTTTTGAAGGTCTTCCTAAATTATCTGATAATGAATGTAATATCATGGAAGGTGAAATTACAGCTGGTGAATGTTTAGCAACTTTAAAAGGAATGAACGTGCGTAAAAGTCCTGGTGATGATGGAAAACGGCTGAAGTATGGAAAATGATTTTTCCTATAATAGAAGATCATTATGTGCAAATATGGCATGTACCGTTTAAACGTCATTGTTTTAAAAATGGCTTTCTTAGAGTCATTCTAACATTGTTAAGAAAAGAAGCTTCAACTGAAGGTTCTATGAAAGGATTTCGTCCATTCTCATTAATAAACATAGATTGTAAAATTTTATGCAAAGTTATTAGTATGAGACTTCGTAAAGTTATTTGTAATTTAATAGGAAGAGATCAAACATGTTCTGTTCCTGACCGTACCATACATGACAATGTACATTTCATTAGGTCAATAATCGCATATCAATGTTCAAGAATGCGTCTTTCTGTCGCATTGATTAACTGGGACCAGGAAAAGGCATTTGATCGAGTTAATCATAAATATCTATTCGAAGTCCTTAAAGTTTTCGTGCAAAGAATTATGTCAATTGGATAAAAATGTCGTATACAGGAGCAACGTTTAAAATACGACTTAATGGAAATTTAACTGAAGATATACCATTTGAATCAGGGGTAAGACAAGGTTGTTCCTTGTTGAGGTATTTATGTGTTAGCGTTAGAATCTCTTGTACATCGTATTAGAATGCATCCCAAAATACCTGGACTCATGCCACCAGGTGGCCAACATAAAACTCTATGCAATAAGATTCTATTGCCTAATGAACATCCTGTAATTAAAGCTATAGGATATGTTGACGATATAACAACGGTTGCATTTGAAATACAAGACAAATATGAAACATTACATATGTTTCACTTGTATAATCGTGCATCTGATGGGAAAATAAATGTGGATAAAACCAAATTATGTTGGATAAGTGATTGGCTAGATTCACCACTTTCAAGCACGCATAAATAGAGACTGATATATATTTCTCGGTGTACCATTATATAATAGTGGTCGTATACCAGCTAATGAATTAATAAAACTAGTTACATCAATTCAGCAGTATATAGCTATGTGGTATACTATCAATTTGTCATCATATGAACGTAGTATAGTTTTAACAGTTTTTGTATTAAGTAAACGGTATATACCTTTTCTTTAACAATCTGTCCTAATAGGCTTATTATTGAATTACAGAAAATATGTAACAGATTTTTGTGGTCTGGTCTGAGACCAACCAAAAGTATCAACATATTAATTGGTAAACGAATTGATAGTGGACTAGATGAATCAGGTTACGATTCTCATCTTTACACTGTATTTTCAATTCATATGTGACTAATCCGCTTGTCTATTTTTGAATCTATAAAATGTTTGTTTGACTAGTCCAGACATCTTGCAGTCGCTATGATGAGCATTTGGCGAGCCCTCCTTTCCATCAGGGTCGACTCACTGACTCATGATGATTGGTAAATCGTTTTGGACCATCAAACATGATTTTTTAATTTTTAATTCATATGTGATTAATTCAGTGGTCTATTTTTGTATCTATACAATGTTTAATGTATTACGACATGTGTATCACACTTTTCTGTAGTATTTTTTCTTGGAATATTTGTGGATTTTACCTCTTTCAGATAAAATAAAATATAATTAAGGCAAAAAAAAACAAGAAAACCATAAAAGCACTCGTGCCAAAACTCACAGCCGCAGTGACGAGTCAGATGCGTGCGAACTAGAAGATTGTTTTTCCACTATCGGGGTCAAAATACAAGAGCAGTGATTATTTATTGAGAAACTCAGCACCAAACAAAGATAGAGGCTTGCGACTTCGGCCATTCGATAACCAAGCCTTTAGGCGATCTTTCTACAGGCAAAATCGATTTTTCAACAGCATTTCGAAGCCGGATTTCCAGAGGATATTAATGATATTGATAATAATCCATTAATTTACTAGTAACTGAACTACAAATATCATTTTCAAACACCTATTTGCTACCGTCGTATACCTTATCTCAAAACAATACAATTTTTCAAACTACTCCATCAAAGTAAACTACCAACGCGAGTGTTCGATCTCTGGATACAGTTAGCCAACTACGGTCCTAGCCAACGATGCTCGATAAGAAAAAGAAATACCAGAATGTGATACTACTACATTTAGATTCAGTTTACTCTGATATGCCACTTTTTGACTGGTTATATCTCACATTTGACTGATCTCAGTTTTGGTTAGGCAAA